ATTTGTCATACAAGGTTAAGAGAGAGAGAGAGCGTGTGTGCATAAACAGTATGTTCGCTCCTTTTGCTCTATTATTTTTTTTTTATTATTATAAATAGTTCATATTCTCATTAGGTAGCAAGGTATTCTAACAGGGACAGCAAGTTCACACATTGTACACAGCAGAGTTTGGGTAGAATTTTCTTAAGGATCTTTTTTTCTCAGGAAAATGAGAAAAGTATGAGAAAACATTGATCATTCAGTCTCTAACAGTATGAGGGGACATGGTAGAGAAAAGCCAGTAAAACCCTACCAGGGCTGTCACATATAGGCCAGTTATTTTGACATTAATATATACCAACATCTAAGTGAATGCTTAGCCTTCAGCAGACAAGGTTCCTTGGGTGAATTTGATATCTTTTATTAGACCAACCCAAATAGTTGGAGAATATTTATTAAGCAAGCTTTTGGGTTCAAAAACCCTTCGTCAGGCTAAGGAAGTTTCAGCAGTTGGTGTGTGCTCTTCCTGGATTCCTGCCTTCAGCAGTGAAGATAAGAAAATTTTCAGTAAAATACGTATATAGCGTACAAAGAAAGTCCTCATCAGTTCCCACAGTATCTCTTTAAATGCACTGTGCATACACTGAATATTATCCTCTACAAATTATATTTTGGTTAAAGTGCTATGGGCAATTGTTTTCTTGTGAAAAAACATCTTAGGACTTGAGAGGAAAACACATCAGTTTGGTAATGACACTTTCCACTACTGCTGCTGGTAGCAAGGTGCGATTACTGGTCCAAAGGGGTTCTTGTGTGAAGCTCTTGATGAGTCAAAGGGAGAAGATCTGGAATGAACTATACTTTCTGTAAACATCCCATCCATTTTCATTAGTACATATGGCTGGAGGCAAGGTCTAACAATTCAGCAACACTTGCAAGCGTAGTGTGTGTCAGAGAGGGAGAATTATAAAACAGAGATAAAAGAATTATAAAGCAAAGATAAAAATAGGGCCAATAATATAAATGTTTTATCTGCTATGAATCTGTTGAAGGATAATGGATTTTTATTCAGCAGTCTAATGAGGAAAAATAAAATATGCATGTCACATAGGTGAAAGGGATAACCGTAAGAGATACTGACAACAGGACAAGAATGAAGTCCATTGGAAAATAGCTTCTGTTCAGCTTTTTATAGAAACTAAAAATCATAAAGCTTGCTATTTATACAAACACCATGATTTCTTATCAAGAATAAGATATAACCAGAAGAACTTTTGATACAGCTGAATCTAGGCCACAAATAAAAAGAATTCACATAGTTATGGGTGGGGAACTCATATGCTATTAAGCACACGAGTATAAAATGAAAATGAAAAAAGGATAAGAAGCCCTGGATGCCAGCAGAGAGAGGAAAATATGAGTTGTTGTTGTTTTTTCAAAGACAGAACTCTTGAGGACACGAATCATAACATTTTCTTAAAAAAAAAAAAAAAAAAGGCCCCCAAAACAACAGCAACAACAACAAAAAGAATTAGACTGCACCAGCAGGACAGCTTTAATAGTTTCTAAGGGTTGATAATTGGAGAAAAAGCCCTAGAGACAAAAGAAATGTTCCTAAAGGAAATTAAACCCAGGCTCTGCGAATAAGAACAATAGCCTACAATACAGGTAAAACTACAGACGCAAATGAATGAATACAAAATGAACATTAGTGGAGCCTGAAGCGAAGACACCTAGAAATACAAAAGGAGGGAGAGTGGCTTCACAGCACCTCCTGAAATGAATTTATAACAATGTGCATACTAATGAACTTGAAACACCACTTAGTTTTTGCATCCATTATTCATTGTTCAGCTTTACAGAAAATGCAACATAACAATGAAACGATTACAGGGAGCATCTCTGGGAGTGAGATGATAACAGGGAAGGAACAGGAACAGCATCTGTTCCTTCACACAATCCCCACGTATAAGAATTACCACAGAAGCAGAAGTGGGAAAGGTTACAAGATGAGAACCTTTGTGAAAGAAGCAAGGTGATTTAAGACTTTATTCCACTCCCTGTGAAGTTCAGTGGATTTTGGCCATAGCCCTTACAGAAAGCAGGCTGACATCATAAATGGAGGGGCAGAAGGCAAGGGAGCCAAACACGTTAGGGGTCAAATTCTAGGTATGGTTCCTGTTGTCTTCAATGGGAAAACCCATAAAAGGGTTTCCAAGACCAGATACCCTCCCTCAATGACTGAAGAACTAAATGCGAAAGAAACAATGTAGATGATGGACTCAGATCAGTCAGACAATGCTGTCCAACCTAGTCATGTAGCAAAACCCCCAGTTTTTCTTTTTATTTATTATTTGAAAATACATTCCCTCCCCTTCCAACCATTTTTGACTTTCTCTCTGCTCTCTCTCTCCCTTATAAGTAGTCATAGATAAGCTAAGGTAAGTTCTTGTGTGCCATTATTGTGACAAGTCTCTTTTTATATTGTAGTGTTCTGGTATTTTTGTATTGATTTTTATTGTTTTATAGGGCTCTGTGAGGCTTCGGACAGAGCTTTGGATGCTTTGGGGTCTGAAGCAGCATGTCTGGGTCAAAGCGCTGGCCTCATTAGGCTTCCGAAGCTCTTTGGGATCTCCAAACCGCTTCGGGAGATGCTTCGGAGATCTGGCCATAGGGTATAATGGGAAAACAATACAATATCTATAACCTTGTTGTTTTTTGTCTGATTTGGATGAAATCTTCAGGGCTGGTAGACTCTGCAGAGAACATGAGGCCTGCCAAGTTTCAAGAAGATCGGTGTAGGGGTTTGGGGGGAACAGCACCCCAAATTCTTGAAAGCCAAAAAACTCATGTCATGGCTGTGTGTTACACCACTGGGGGCTGAAAACTGCAGGGGTGGTGGCTCTTACTGAGGCCACAAAGCCTGCCAAGTTTCAAAAAGATCAGTGCAGGGGTTTGGGGGTGGGGGGAGACAGCCCCTCAAGCTGCAGACAAGCAAAACTCATGCCATGGGTGCTTGTGGGACTGACTGTGTCTGTCTTGGGGCATCGGAGACACTGCTGCAGGCCTGGCTGCTATGCTACTGTGTTACGTGTTACCAATTAATCCATCATGATTCACTCAAGGACCAGCTCAATACACAGGACCTAGCTACTACATAACGACTTAATGAGCATCAATTAGCACCCACAAAACCAGGCTAGCAAGAGGAAAGAATCAATACAGACAATCAACTGCCCCAAGACAGAGACAGAGACAGGCTTGGCATGTGTTTGGCCCATCAGCAGCTAGGGGTGCAGGGCCCCAGAACCCCCCTGCACCATCTCCTTAACAGCTGGCAGGTGTTGTGGCCTCAGCAGGGGCCACCATCCCTGCAGCTGTCACCCCGCTGTGCCTTAACACATGCAGTGTCATCTATGGCACGAGTTTTGCTTGTCCACAGCTTGAGGGGCAGTCCCCCCCCAAACCCCTGCACCTATCTCCTTGAAACTTGGCAGAATTTGTGGCCTCAGTAAGGGCTACCACCCCTGCAGTTTTGACCCCCCCTGTGTTGTAACACACAGACATGACATGAAATTGGCCTTCAAGAATTTGGGGTACAG